TGCTAGGAAAATTACCCTTGGTCATAACCCCAGCTCTTTTATTCTATGAAATATAGTATTCCAAGACCTACAATTCTTCAACGTACTAACTTCCAGATATTGTGTAATCCTTATTATAATTCCATGATATTTAAGTTCTTTTTTCTTGTTGCTTCCAATATTTTCTCCTTAACCTGGAAGCTTTGAAACTTGGCTGTGATATTCCTGTAAGTTTTCCTCCCAGGATCTCTTTTAGGTGGTGATCACTGGATTTTTTCTATTTCTGTTTTGCCTTCTTGTTCTAGAACTTCAGGGCAATTTTCCTTGATAATTTCTTGTAATATTATATTAAAATTTTTTTAATCAAAATTTTCAGGTAGTTCAATTATTCTTATATTATTTCTGTCCCTTGATCTGTTCTCTAGATCAGTTGTTTTTCTGATGAGATGTTTCACATTCTTTTCTATTTTTTCATTCTTTTGATTTTGTTTTATTATTTCTTGATGTCTTAGAATGTCATTAGCTTCCCTTTGCCCAATTCCAGTTTTCAAGGAGTTATTTTCTTCCTTAAGTTTTCGATTCTCTATTTCAAATTGGTTGACTTTCTTTTCATAATTCTCTTGATTTTCTTGGATTGCTCTTTACTTTTTCCTAATTTTTCCTCAATCTCTTTTACTTTATTTTTAAAGTCCTTTTTAAGTTCTTCCAAGAAATCTTTTTGTGCTTGGGATCATTTGATGTTTCTCATTGAAAAAGGAGTGACTTTTTTAGCTCCATTATCTTCCTCTGAATATGATCCCAGATCTTCTCTATTCCAATAGTAGCTATCTATGTTTGGGCTCTTTCTCTTTTGCTTACTCATTTTTTTTTTGGTTTTGTTTTTAGCAGCTATTAGTGTGATCAAGTTATAGTCCAAGTATGGGGAATAACGCCCCAAGCCTCAGGTCCTTCTTACTATTATTTTCTGAGGTCTGTCCCAGGGCTCAATCTTGGGCTCTTCTCTCCACTCCTAAGTCACTGCCAGAGCCCCCGGGATCACGCTGTCCCACAAATGATTTTACTCCCTGCAGTCCCTCCTGCAACTGCAAACTACAGCTGTCCTCTTTGCCTTGGAACCAAAAACAAGAACTCTGCTCTCCTGCAAGTGCCCACAGCCAACAGGGTTCCCGTGCTTCTGCTACTGCACTCCCCAGCTGTGTGCTAGCTCCTTCTTCCTGCAACCACAGCCTGGGACACATCTGGTCAGCACAGTTGTGCTTGGCATCCCTTCACAATGGAATGCCCTTCAATCTTCTCCTCCTCAGCCATCAGTCCCCCACATTGTTGGTGAGATGTAAGTTTCCAAGACTGAAGCTGCCTCCCAACCTCCGCTGCTCCTAGTACTTGTTTGTTTGTTCTGCAGAGTTGATCGGGAGGTTTTCACACTTCACTCAGGCTGACCCTCTGCCTCTGGAGGTCAGGTCTTTCCTGGGGTCTTCTTAAGTTGTTTTAGGAGAACAACTGTTTTACCCTGACTTTTGTTTATTTCTAATGCTCTGCATTCCCTCCGAGGCAATGTTCTGTCTTTTTCTGTGGAGGAAATTTGAAGAGCTGAAAGTTTTCTCACCTACTTCACCATATTCCCAGAATCCTCCACTAGCTATTTTTGTTGCCAATATATAGATATGGTGCATGTTTCTACTTTTATTTATCCATATTGCATTATTCATTTATTTATTTGTTTGTTTGTTTGTTTATTTATTTATATCCGTAAAGTCCCTGATTGTTGTTTTTTTAAATTTGAAGGTGAGTTTGCTCATGATTTTCAATATCAGAAATCTAAATATGAGTTAATGAACTAAGACATCTTCTTAGGCTGAAGTTTATATTCTCCTTAGCAGAAAAACCTCAGAAGCAAAAGAAGAGTTAAATAGTTCTACTCTCTGAGTTCATCTTTCTATATCATCTTCCCTTTCTCTCCAAAGGTTCTATCCCTTGCTTGATTGCCATCTTGCCTCCTTTTTTGTTTTCCTTAATTTAATTCATTTTTGAGTTTAGCTTCCTTCATATTCTTATGGGACTGTGCCACTTTAGAGTATTTGTTCCTAGTTTCCTGACCTTGTTGCCTATTTCTGTGTATATCTTTAAAAAATATTTACTATGACAAGGCTTTTTGTTATCACCTTATTTATGTAACTTATATACAGAGTATATGATGTGAAACGCCAGTCTGGATAAATCAAAAGCTGAAACTGAGGCTGCCGGAAGAAATATCAACAATCTCAGATATGCAAATGATACCACTCTGATGGTAGGAAATGAAGAAGAATTAAGAAGCTTCTTGATGAGGGAAATGTAAGAGCTGGCTTGAAGCTTAACATAAGAAAACTAAGATCTTGGCAACTGGTCCTATCATTTCCTGGCAAATAGAGGGAGAAGAAATGGAACCAGTTTCAGATTTTATATTCTTGGGCTCAGAGATCACTGCAGACAGTGACTGCAGCCATGAAATTAAAAGATGCTCCTTGGAAGGAAAGCTGTGGCAAATCTGGACAGTGTACCTGAAAGCCGAGATATCACCTCACCAACAAAGATCTGTAAAGTCAAAGCTATAGTTTTTCCAGTAGCAATGTATGGCTGCAAGAGTTGGACTGAGGAAAACTGAGTGGACACTTTCAAATTGTGGTTCTGGAGAAGACTTTCCAGAGTCTCTTAGACAGCAAGGAGATCAAATCAGTCAATACTTAAAGAAATTAATTCAGGCTGTTAACTGGAAGGTCAAATACTGACGCTGAAGCTTAAATAGTTTGGCCACATAATGAGAAGCCAGGACTCACTGGAAAATTTTCCTCACTGATGTAAGGAAAAATTGAAGGCAAAAGGAGAAGGGGACAGCAGATGATGAGACGGCTAGATAGTGTCATGGAAGCAATGAACATGAACTTGGACAGACTTTGAGAAATACTGGAGGATAGAAGGGCCTGGCATGCTATGGTCCATGGGGTCATGAAGAGTTGGACATGACCGAGTGACTGAACAACAAGAACAACAACACTTATTGATTAAATGATCACTTGATTGATAAAGTGAAAAATGTAATTCAAGAAATTGCCTCTGGATCTGATTCTCCACAGCAAAGAGGAACTAACTTCTGGGGTAGAAACTTTGGGACCCTTTGTGCAAAAGTCACATTTCTCTATGTTAGAGTTTGTGATAGAGAAGGAAAAGAAGGCTGGGCATAGTCTGGCATGCATCTTAAAGAGGAGATTTCAAAGAGTACAAAGTAAAAACAGGTAGAATCCCATGGACGATCACCTCAACAGGGTTGGGAAACTGTTAAATATGAAACTCTAAAGACAAAGATAAACATTTGTGATAAAGAATAGAGAATATTGTCTAAAGGGATTGATGTGGATACACAGGGCACTCATTGACTGAAATCTTAAGAAGATGTAAAAGATGAAAGCAAGGTTAGGTTATGGGAGGATTAATGCAAAGAAGAAAGTATGGTACAACATGTAACCTATATCAAATTGCTTACCATTTTAGGAATCGGGAGAGGAGAGAGGGAGGGAGAAAATTTGAAACTCAAAAATTTTTTTAAATGAATATTAAAAATTGTCTTTACATGTAATTGAAAAAATAAAATACTATTTAAAACAAAGTTTAAAACTGGTTAAAGCATAGTGCAGTTTCATAAGAATAATATCAATAGTGTCAAAGATCAGAATGAGCTGAGGTTGGTCAGAAAAAGTAAGGACAAGAAGAGGATTATTTTAAGAAAGTTACGCCAGAGAAAGACTTTTGGTTAAGACGGCTGTGTGAAAGGTCAACAGGGGAGCTGTGACACTCCCCTATGTGTACTAAAGTAATGGTGTTTAAAAAGTGCCAGACCAAATAATGATTAAAAAAAACCTGGGAGAAACTATAGTAAGTGCCTTCATCCAGCCCAGGACTGCTCTCAAAAACAATCCAAAGTCTACTGGACTCTTCTACCCAGTACCTTCTACCATTAATGCAGGTAAACAAGTTGGAAGCCTGCTAGCATTTGGACCAGAGATGCTTCAGCTCCACCTCAAGCCTATATCATCTTGGTTGTGTTTGAGTAGGGGGGGAGATTGAGTGAGAGAGGCAGGGAAGGATAGACTGAGTGTAGAGGAAAGCCCCAGGAACCTTGAAAACACTTTAAACAGGGAAAAGAAGGACTCATTCGAATAGAATCTTGAAAGATAGTTAAGTAGGATTCCCATTGGCAGAGATACATGAAGATAGCAGACCAGGCTTTTGCCTGAGACTGGATTGAGATCTCAGTTTCTGAACTACTCTCTTCGGGATAGATGTCATCCCTAAGGAAGATCCAGGAAATTTAAAATGTTATTTTGTTCTTGTTATCCTTTTTTTTTTCTCTTCCTAACCAGATGAATTTTTAGATGGGGTGTTGGAACTTGATATCAGCATTGCTTATAATTTTTTCATCAGTAATATATGAGAGAAGGCAAAGTCAAGTAAAAATTGACAGTGTTTAAGATATTAAGAAACTTTAGAGCTGAATAGAACATTTAAAGGATGAAAATGATTTCTGGATTTTCAAGTTTAAAATCTAAGCCAGATAGTGATTTCCCTGAAAACTCTCATTCTTCAAACTGGCTAGACTCCATAAAACGCATTTCCCTTTGAGCACAGCAATAACAAGAGTCTGAGAGGGCTCCTACTTTCTGAGATATAAAGCATGGGATAATGGAAAGGGTACTATAGTCTGAGACAAGTCTGGAGCCGAGTCCCATCTTTTCCACTCCCTAGGTGTGCGACTATAGACAAATTATTTTTTCCCTTTTTGAACTTCAGTTCCTTCACCCATAAAATGAAAATGATAATAATTTCTCTACCCATCTCATAGGGCAGTTGTCAGCGTCAAATGAGACAATGTATATAAAATAAAATTGTAATCATGAGACACTCTAAAAAAATTAAGCTTTTATTATCCTTGGCAGCATGACTTCTGAATTGTATTTTAACGTGTGTGTGCGTTTCTCTCTTTTCAGCTAAATGGCTCATTTCTTCATTTTGGGATTCATCCTAAGCTGAGAGCAGAGGCAAAATTACCCGCAACATTTACAGAATACGTCACGAGTGGCGATATAATAGGAGAATTGAGTTGTCTGCTTAAAAGAGAAATGGGTTATACAGCTACCTGTGAAACCATTTTGCAGGTCAGGCATCACTATTTTTTTCACTGTATGTTACATGAAGGGGTGTACTGGAGTTACCTTGAACCAGCTGAGAGGAGCCAATTGTAAAATTTTCAGTGTGAGCATTTGCACCTCAGAAATCAGTAAACATTACAAATCAGGGCTTGATTTATTGTTTTGTTGATTGTCTAGACTTAAGAAAGTGACAGAGAAAACATTAATGATGCAGATTAAACTTTAAAGTGTGTCCAGCATGTTTTTTCTTTTTGGGATAGGGAGTTGTTAAACATTTACCAGCATGCCCCTTGATACAGTTTTCTTTCATGTAAATCAGGGACCCCAGTATGATTTTTTTTTCTCCCAGAGAATTCTGATGCTTTATTCTGAAAACCATCCAAATGATCATAAAATCATGAAAACACAGAATTTTAGAACAGGAAGGGACCTAAGGCATTCCCATTTCAAAGTAACCCACAAGTTGTGATCCCACCTCTTCTTGAAGCCCTCTGGTGAGGCCAAACCTCATTACCTTCTGAGGCCACTGTTGGCCTTTCAGACTGATCTACTTGTGAGGCAGTTTTTCCTGTCATCAAGCCTAGATTTCCCTCTTTGATACTTGGATAAGGATCTTACATGTTGAGTGTCAACATTTAAATTAATATTTTTGTATAGTCTAAAATCTTTGATTCTTAGTTCCTTTGGCCTGATGCGTCTCCCCTTTCTGTTTCTGTCTCTCTCTCACCACTGTCACTTTAATGGCAGAAGTATTTTTCTTTTTCATGGATTGTAGTGGCTAAGGAATTCATTATTACATGTCCAGCCACTTATGATGAGCCACTCCATTCTTAGCTAGTGTGGCACTTAGCAATCAGACTGGAAGCTTTTCCAGAATGGTAGAAGCTACCAGAGCTTTCAATCTACTGGCCTAACCTATGACAATCGCAGGTGTCCTCTATGCTATGATGAGGTGTCATGGTAGGACTTTGGGGAGGTCACAGAATATCCTATAACAAGAAAGCTTGGGCAGAGATTTTGTTGAGTCCTAAGTTTAGGGATAGCATCCGCCTTGACTCCTCACATATCCAATCAGTTGACAAGTACTGTGGTTTCTATGGCCACAACATCTTTTACATCCATTCCATTCTCTGTACTCACATGGCTATCACCATAGTCCAGGCTCTCCTCACTTCTTAGCTGGACTATTATAACAGCCTCCTAACTGGTCGCTAACTTCTCTAATTCATTTTCTATATAGCAACCAAAATGATTTTTCTAAAGCCACAGGCCTGGCCATTTCATTCCCCCACTAAATAAATTTTCTTATTATGTCTAGGGTTAAATAGAAATCTATTGGACCTTTTAAAACCCCTTGCAACCTGGCTTTGTCACTTATTGCACATTAGTCCTTTTAACACTTTCTGTGGTCTGACCAAATTGGCTTTCTTGGTGTTCCTCCCATGGCCATGACCAAGTCCCTCACCCAACCAGAAAAGACTTCCTTTTGCTCCTGATTGAAGCATCTTTGATTGATTCAAGGAGGCATCCAAGTCTTGTTCACACTTAATGAAATTGAGTTGTGTTTTCACGTGATGAATATATCGAGGCTTAGTATCTTAATATTTGGGATAGAGTGATAGGATTGGTTTACTCAATTGACTACGCTCTCACATTCATACCCTTACTAATGTCCTGATTATGCTTCACAAAATAGCCAATTTCTTGGCATGGATAGAGTTCCTATTTTCTCATAGTCTTACTCTTGCTGTTTATTCCTACGTTATTACTGTGTCTTATTTTTTCAGGCCTGCTTTATCTCTCTAGAAGATTTATATGAAGGTTTTGATGTATTTTGGTCATTCTTAGAAGACAAAGTGTGGGTGAAAGTTGCACTCAACATAGCAAATCAATATATAAAGGCGGGTATAATGGGTGAGGTAAGACATATTGATTCAACTATTATAATTTTTTTTCAGACCATTGATTTCAGCAATGTGTGGACTCCTAGAACAGAAACTCCTCCTCATTTAGATCAGTATCTCTAATGTAACAGAATCTTACAGGGTTGTGTAGTAGGAAGGTTGAGTAACTCATGTCCATGGTTACATAGCCAGTATGTGATAGTATATGAATCTAGTTCTTATGACTCCAAGGCCAATTCTCTATCTCCCCTACCATGCCACTTCTCCTATAGGATCTATCCTGTTATTTCACAGAACAAAAGAATAGCTATGAAGTTCGTAATTCATAGATTTAGAGTTGAAAGGTGCCAGAGGGGAAACTCAGGCCTACCTGTCTTTAAGCCTCTGTGTATGGTGTCAGTAATTCATCACAATACTATCAAGGAAGATGTAGGACATCTGAGAAATTACAGCTTTGTAATTCTCTGTTCTACATTTATTTTTATGTAGATTCCACAGCTACTGATTTGGTAAGCCCCAAGAGGCAAAGACAGTGCTAATAGGAATAATTTAATGAACATTTAGCTGGACCTCGACACATTGGATGTCAGGCAGTCAGTCAATAAATATTTATTGTGTCTACTATATGCCAGGTACTGTACTAACCACTGGGGACACAAAGAAAGGCAGAAGACAGTGCTTGTTCTCAAGTAGGTCACAGTCTAATGGGGAAACAACACAAACAACTATGTACAAACCGGTAACATACAGGACAAATTGGAAATTATCAACAGAGGGAAGGCACTAGAATTAAGGGGGATTGGGAAAGGCTTCCTGTAGAAGATAGGATTTTAGCTGGCACTTGAAGGAAGCCAGAAGGCAGAGATGAGGAGGGAGAGCAGCATTCCAGGAGGCTAGCTAGTGAAAATTTATGGATTCAGGAGATGAATCCAGTTCAAGATGCCCAACAGGCAATGGGAGATTTCAGACCGGAAGTCAGTGGAAAGGTTGGGGCTGTAGACGAAGATTTGAGAACCATCAGCATAGAGATGATTAAATCTTTGGGAGCTGGTGAAGTCATCAAGAGAGATACTATAGAAAGAGAAGAGGGCCCAGGTCAGAACTCTGTGGGATATCCATGGTTAGTAGGCAAGAGCTGGTTGAAGATGGACGAAAGGAGATTGAGAAGGAGCTGTGAGATAGGTCAGAGGGGAACCAGGACAGAGTAGTATCACAGAAACCTAAAAGAAGAGGGTGTAGAGGAGAAGAGGGTGATCAACATCAAAGGCTACAGGCAGGGCAAGAAGGATGAGGACTGAAAAAATGAGATTTGGTATGAGATTTGGTAATTAAGAGTAAGGTAATTATTTTGGTAATTAAGAGGTTTTTAGTAACTTTGGAGAAAGCAGTTTCAGTTAAATAATGAGACTGAAAACGTGACTAGAGAGTTTGGTGAGACAGAGGACAGGAAGTGGAGACACCTATTACAGATGGCCTCAAGGATGTTAAGCACAAAAGAGAGGAGAGATATGGGAAAATAATTATTAGGGATGGATGGATCCAGTGAGGGTTTTTGAGAATGACAGAGACATGGGCATGTTTGTAGGCAGTAAGAAAGCATTTAGTAGACAAGGAGAGGTGGAAGATAAATGAGAGAATCAGGATGACAGAGGGGCAATTTGCTGGAGAAGGGATGAAATGGTATCAGTTGTGCAAGTAGAGGGAATTCCTTCTTGCCTTAGCAAGGAGAAGGGCCAGCTCTTCACATGAGAAAGGAGTGGAGAAAGAGATGGTGGTGGAATGAATATGAGTGATGAGGAAGAGGGGAAAAAAGGGAACTCTTGGTGAATGGCCCCAATTTTTTCAATGAAATATGAGGCAAGGTTTTCAACTGAGAAAGATGAGAGGTGGGGGAGCTATGAGAAGTTTGAGGAGAGATAAAAAGGTTTGGAAAAGCCACTGAGGTGAGTGGGATATTGAGTCAATTAGTGTAGTATAGAAGATCTCCTAGCTGCATTGAGGACCAGTTGAGATGATGTCACATAAATTTGTAGTGGACCCAGCTAGCATGGTTTCATTATTTTCTCTAACTTCAGTAGTAAACATGTAAGAGCAAAGGCAGTGGATGGTGGGAATAATTGAAGGCCAATGCTTGGCGGGGCAAGATTGGTAATTGGATAAGGGCACAAGGGATTCAAGAGAAAAAGGCAGTATAGGGTTTGAATTGGTTCAGAAAGCGGTCAAGATGGGGAATGGAGGAGAGTGTTGCCAAGTGCAGGGGTGATAGTCTGGGAAAAAATTGAGGGATTATAGGTCATTGTATGGTTGAAGGACAGGGTTTCAGGTTGTAAGGCAAAGGGAAAGGTAGAATGACAATGGAATGTAATCAGATAAGGGAATTTCAGAGTTTGTGAACATAGACACAGGTGACTGCAAGATCAAAGGTATGACCATATTTGTGTTAGTTTATAGAAGACTCGGTCATGTGAAATGAGCAAACTGAGAGACTATTAGGTGCAAGGATGGTGAGCCTGCAGCCTCGAGGCCACACGTGGCTCTCTAGATCCTCAAGTGCAGCCCTTTGACTAAATCTAAATCCCCTTACTAAAAGGATTTGTTCTGGGAAGTTTGGATTAGCCCCTCTCCTCTTCTCTGGAAAGGAAGGCATCTGGTACTCAATGGAAGAGCGTTCCTATTAGAAGACAAAATGAAAAAAAAAATAGAAAGTCGGTCCTCTAATGGTGCTTACATTTTTCCCCCACTTTTTTGGCGAGGCAATCGGGGTTATATGACTTTCCCAGGGTCACATAGCTACTAAGTATCGAGTGTCTGAGGCCAGATTCCAACTCAGGTCCTCCTGACTCCAAGGCCAGAGCTCTATCTACTGTGCCACCTAGCTGCCCCTGGATGCTTACATTCTAAAGGAGACTACTACGTATGCACGAATAAGTATACAACAAGCCAAACTTCGGAGAGGGAGAACAATAAAAACCAGAAAGAAAGGAGATGGCTTTACTGAGGTTGTAGTCCCTGAACTGAGTCCTGAAGGAGAAGGATTCTTAGAGGCAATGTGGAGGGATAGTGAACCCCAAATTTATACCTCTTTATTGTGGCTCTCTGCCTCTTCATCCCAATTCTGTTCTGAGAGCTTTCTAATTATAGAGTATAATTGTAGAGTGGTTCAAGTCTGCAACTTTCTGCTCTTGGGGCACAAAGAATGGATTAAGAATGAGCCTTTTGTACCAACCCAGGGAGCAGGATTAGGATCTTATTTATTTTTGGAAATTAGCGTATCGTAAGTATTTGGAACATAATAATTTGTATGTGGAAAATTTATCAAGCTATAGTGAGCAATATCTATTCACTACAGGACTTCCTCCAGTTCAATAGGAGGAAAACACTTTCTAATGATGCATTGTTCAAAACTGGAATGGGCTTCAGGGTGAGCTAGTGAGCACATTGCTGGGGATCTTACAGCAGAGGCTGACGACTCTTTATGGAGGATATTGTATAGGAGTCCCCTATGCTGAGTGGAGAGGTGAGGTTAGGTCATCCCTTAAGATCACATCCAGTGTTATGAATCTATGACGATGAGCCCCTCAGTCCTGTGGAAAATGTCACTTCTTGTCCTTGCCTGTCCATTTTGGATGCTAAAAGATCATCCTTTTGTTCACCCCTGTGGATACTGGGAACTGGTTAATATAAGCCGGTAAAAACAGTTTTACCCAAACTCACAGGACGCAACCTTTGCATTGGAATATTATTAAAGACTTAGAAAGCCTAAATATGACTAACTGCTCACTGGTTCTCCATTGTCCACATGTTTATCTCAGATTTCCATAGATTAGTGAGGCATGATTTCCTCTCAATGAATCCTAAATCAAGTCAATAAGCATTTAGTAAGCACCAACTACTGTGTGTACCAGGCACTGTGCTAAGCATTGGGCATACCAAGAAGGACAAGAAATAGTCTTGTTCTCAAGGAATTTACAGTCTAATGGGGGATACCATGCAAATAACTGTCTACCAACAGGACACATACACGTTAAATTGGGAATAATTTCAGAGTAGAGCACTAGTATTAGGGAGGATAGCAAAGGCTTCTTGCAGAAGGTGGGTCTTCAGCTTAGACTTGGAGTGAGGGAGCCAGGGAAGCCAGGAGGTGAAGATGAGCAGGGAGAATGATCCAGGTATGAGGGAAGTCAGGAGGCAGATCACTTATTTCTATCATTTATTTTTAGGAATTAACATATCAGAGGTATTTAGAAGAAAATAATATGTACATGGAAAATTTATCAAGCTATAGTGAGCTGTCTATTTATGATGAGACTATACAATATGTTCTCATTGTATTTGGAAGTGTGATTAATGTTGTTACTGAGGAACCGTATTTTGCCCCCAGCTTAATACCTCCATCATGTTTTCAGGTAAGAAGGATAATTCCTGGCATTCTAAATTTGTACCTTATTGTTTGCTGGTCTCTCACAAATCTTATCGGGGTACTAATAACTTTTATATTCTACCTACAGTATTAAAAAATAATATAGCTTCACCTCAAAAGCATAGACTCTATAGCCTGTTGACCTGAAAGTTTGGTTAGAGACAACAAGCTAGGTGATAAGTAAATCCATATTGTTTATTCCCTTAAGTTAGCGACATGTTACATGGAGCCAGAGCTTTAACTCTGACTGAATCAAGAAATTTTAGGAGGACATTTAAACCCTGACTAAGGATGTTTGTGTTACTCAGTTTTATGGTCTCCATATGTTTAACCAGAGCATGAGAAAGGAATTTTAAATAAGATAGGCAAATGTCAGATCCGGGATATCTGTGTATCCTTTACCACCATCAAGGTAGTGTCTGGGTTAAAGGTGCCTTAGTGGTCATAAACATAAGACTGTTCTTGATCAGCTTTAATGGTTGACATAGGAAGGGGCATTCTCAGTTCACTCAGGAAGAAAAGATTAATTCAGGTTTTTGGCCCTTACTGGGGCTCAATTGATATTAAATGATTCTCAAGCCCTTTTATTATTTATCTGCTGTCAGGGATGGGGATTGGACTTGAGATTTCATTAGCACAGGGAATTTCTTAGTGAGAAAATGTTGTACAATTCAAACCTTTCGTTAATGCCAGATAGGGTTTGTTTGTTTTGTCTCATTTTGAGATTCTTTCATTCCTTTTATTACAAACAATTCTGAGTATAGGCCTGGTAATCCCAGCATATTCTAATCCAATCCAATCCATTCTAATCCAATAAACATTTACTAAGTGTTTATGAGATGTGGTAGACACTGTGTTAAGCCCTGGAGATACATAGCCCTTGACTTCAATAATCACTGGCCAGGAAGGATTAAATAAAGGAAGACATTGGGAGGAGTTCCTTTATAGAGGTCAGAAACTGGATTTAGCTTACTCTACTCTGCCTCTGCTAAACTTGGTTTCAACTTCACAGAACAAGATGCCTCTACACCAAATATCCCTGGTGTCCTGTCCTGTCCTGTCCCTACCACCTTTTGTGTATTGTCTTCCCTCTTTTGTAGCAGATGCAAAGTGGAGTGAGCTGAGTCCAGTTTCTGACCTCTTTAAAGGAAGACATTGGGAGGAGTTTGGATATCTGCTCTCCCAATCAGAGGAGAGAGGAGGCTGAGGAAGGTGAAGTCAATCAAGGCATGAATTAGCAGCATGGTGAGGAGTTTAAAAGGGATGAGCTTAAAAAAATTTCTTTTTCAAGTGGTGAGTTTATCATGGGAAGGACACTTTATTGTAGAGTTGAACCAGGCAGGACAGTAGATACAAAGTGGAGTAAGACGAGTCTAAAAGGAAGACTTTCGGAGGAATTTGGTACTCTCTCCTTGTTCAGTCTATGGTAGACATACTAGAGTGGCTTGTCACTTCTTTCTCCAGCTTATTTTACAGATGGGGACCTGAGGCAAACAAGGTTAAGTGACTTGCCCAACATCACACAGCTAGTAAATGTCTGAGGGTGGATTTGAACTCATGAAGATGAGGTCTTCCTGATTCCAAGCCCAGTGCTTTATCCACTGTGCCACCTAGGAAGCTGAGGGAGGTAGAGTCAATCAAGGTGTACATCTATTCTAGTCTAAGAAGACTACAGAGATGATTAGATAATTCAATACAATCCAATCCTGGGGGTTAGGAGGAAAGTCCCAGGATGTTATAGTTGTGGGGGCCTGGTTTTGAAGTCCAGAAGTCAGAGACAGATCTGAGAGGGGATTAAAGACTGTATGGCCTGAGCACCTCCACAAAATGGAGGCCCCAAGAAGATATCACCAATGGGAGAAAGGAGCTGGCCCAGAGAAATGATGTACCACTGTGAGAAAGCCACAAGAGTAATTGCCTTCTTTGTTATTAATTCACCCGGTTGTTACCTCATTAGAATTCTTGATGTCTTGTCCTATGGAGACAGCTGTAATGACTTTACCTCTTACACATAATTCTTAGGTTGGAGAGTTTTCTGAGAGTTCATGAGGTTTGGAGATATCTAGTCCTTCATCTTGTTGGTCATATAACCTAGAAGTGTAAGGAGCATTTTGTTATTGTATTTATATAGGTCCCGAGGGAGCTTTGGTAAATTCCCAGATTTTTATGCAGTTTTGTAGTTTTCCTTTTTAATATTTCTTCATGGGTTTTTGTTATTGCAATACAGAAATGGTGTTGATTTTTGTGTACTTATTTGTATCATGCTACTTTCTTGATGCTAATTATTTTCTCAATTAGTTTATTTGCCAAGTATCCAGATTTTTCTAAATATTCTATCATGTCATCAGCAAATAAGGATAGTTTTGCCTTGTCTTTGTCTATATTCGTTTCTTTATTTTTTTCTTTTACCTTATTTCTATTGGTAATTTCTAGAAACATATCAAATAATAGTAGGAGAAAGGAGACATCCTTACTTCACACTAGCTTACTGGAAAAGCTTCTAGTGTCTCTTCATCAATCATAATGCTAGCTTTTTGTTATATGTGTGTGTATGTGTACGTATGTGTATATGTATATATGTATGTGTGTATTAAAAAAGGCTCTTCTATGTCTATGCTTTGCAGGATTTTTTTAAAGCATAAATGAGTATTGTATTTGGTTAAACAAAAGGGAAAAATAAAGAACAAGGCAAATTGTTAGAGAATTTAGAGCTGAAAAGACTCATAATGGCATCTGAATGGAAACTTTAAAGTTTGAAAATATTTTTTAGCCTCATTTGATCCCATTACAAAAATAGACCATATGCTAAGACATAGAAAAACTATAAAAAAATATTTTAAAAACCAGGAATACTAAACACATCCTTTAAAGATCATAATATACTGAAAACATTAAATAATTTAGGGAGGACAAGCACAAGATACAGTGCTAAGTGGAGACTTAATGGTGACATCCTGAAAAGTGAGTGGGGCAAAGAACAAATTATAGAAATATTAACTATGTAAAAGAGAATGATATTGATAAGACAACATACAAAATTTCTGAGATGTAACTAAAGCAGTCCTTAGATGAAAAATTATATTCCTAAGAACATACATCAGCAAAATAGAAAAAAAGAAGATAAATACACTGAATTCTAAATTAAAAAATAGAAAATGGACAAATAATTGCAAATGATGAAATTTTTAAAATTGGAAAAGAACTAAATCATTCCTAGTTCAAAAAGACTATAGAACTGATAAATAAAACTAAAAATGGTTTCTTTGAAATTATTGCAGTTTAGGGTGCTGGGAACCCCAAAATGCAGGGGTAGGGAGTGGGGCTGCCTCTAAAGAATTTGACCACTCAAGCCTTCTTTCAGTCAGTAGCAAGGTTTTATTATAACACCAGTTAGGAAGGCAAGATTCCTAATAAATCTGTGAATTTGATGAGGATGGGACTGATACTTACATACAAAAAGACTGTGAGAAGATCTGGATGGGATGAAGAAGTGGCAAGTAGCCTGGGGTGAGCCAGGTGAAGCCAATGAAAGGAGTTAAGAGGTCAAAGAGCCACAGTGAAAGGGTAGTAAAAAGGATTATTGAGTATCTAAAGTAGACTGGGGTGGGCTGAATGCCTCAGGGGTCCAGGTCCCAAAGGCATGGTCTTTTCCTTTTAGGGGTCCAGGTCCCATAACCCCATCAAAATCACTAACAAAATTAATTAACATTTTGCCAACCTTTTTAAAAAGTAAATAGAACAAAATCAAGTCAACTAAATAAAAATGACCTTAGGCTTTTTGGAATAAAACTTGTGATAATATTATTACTAAAAAAAAAAAAAGATAATATAGAGATGGCTGACTACTGTTGTGATTAATTTTGACTCATCTTTCAGATTCAAGGTACATCTGATATAAACAAACTGCTGATTGTACGAAAAGAAGACGCTTCTTTGAAAAATGAGAGTTTAGAAAAGCAGTGCTTTGATCCTGAGAAATGCCGTAAGGAGACAGACACTTTAATACATCTATAATTTGCTTTTAATTCTAGGGAGAGAAATTAAGAGAATATTTTTATTTTGTTTTTGTCAAATCTGGTTTGAGGATAATGATTAAGAAGCTGGTCTGAGGATGAAAAAGGCTCTTTGCCTTTCTGTGCCATCCTCCTAGCCGGAGGAATAGCACCAAATACCTTGTGTTAAATATACAGTAGTTCTATTTGGCAGGTTTGCACCTGTATTGGAGATACATTTTTTTTTTTTTTTGGTTAGGCAATGGGGTTAAGTGACTTGCCCTGGGTCACACAGCTAGGGAGTGCTATGTGTCTGAGGCCGGATTTAAACTCAGGTCCTCGCTGCCCCATTGGGGGTACATTCTTGCTACTCATTTTAGATCCACTGTGTGGCTTGAGTGATTTCATAGTTCTTTACTTTCTCTAGCAGTTTTAAGTAATTCAGTCTTTGTTCTTGATCTGTGTTGGTAGAGATGGTCAATTCTGAGTGAGAGTAGAGGACCTTGGCAGACACATATAGAAACAAATAAAGGGACCTTACAGTCTTAATTGCCCTGATCTTTTGAGCCAGGGGAAGAGTGGAACAGAGGTTATTGTCAGTAAGATAAAGGTGAAAATGGGGGCCTCTGGGATGTCACGGTTAGGGAGCTATGAGGGAGAGAGTAATGCTGATATCAGAAGCTGGACAAATAAACGTCCTTTAAGCTCAAAAAAGGGATGCCAATTTAAGACCTTCCAAATACGTTTACAACTTCAGATATATCACTTATCTCTCACTATCCCTGTTCCAACATCCTGAACCCTTTACACTGACCTACCCTGGGCATACTTCTGAGCTTGGATTTGTCTTGCTTTGGTGACATAAAACCCCTTTTCTTTCTCCTAATTTGATTTACTCACTCCCCCTAAAGCCTTTTGACTTCTGGAGCCTAGTTGTTCTTTCGCAGTATCCAGCAATCAATTCAATTTCCCATGAAGAAAGCAATGTAGTTGTAATTTTTTTTTGGGGGGTGAGGCAATCGGGGTTAAGTGACTTGCCCAAGGTCACACAGCTAGTATGTTTCAAGTGTTTGGTCTGAGGCTGGATTTGAACTCAGGTCCTCCTGACTTCAGGGCCAGCGCTCTATCCACTGCGCCACCTAGCTGTCCCCAAAAGCAATGCAGTTGAAAGGAATATCAGTAAACTCCCACTGATCTCTTTCTGTTGCCCCAGCCTGAACTTGGGTTACTTTAGCCTTTCTATGGCTGGCCCTACACAATCAATAAAAATTCATTTGGTGAATTCCATTGTCATTAGGGTCTGGGGATGCAAAAACAAATGTGTCCTCAAGTCCTTGTCCTCAAGGAGCTCACATTCTATTGGGGGGACACAATGTATACATTTCAAATAGATAAAAGGTAATTTGGAGATAGTAGGATAAGTGGCAATTGAGAAAAGTTTCACTGCACAAGATGAGTTTGAACTGAGTCTTGAAGGAAAATAGGAATTCTAAGAGGCAGAGGTGAAGAGGGAGTTCCTTTCAGTCTTGGAAGGCAGTAAGTATTAAGGCACAAAGATAGGAAATAAAGGGTCATGTTGAAGGAATAGCAAGAAGGACTATTCATTAATTCTAGCTCATGTGTAATATAGCTGAAAAGGTTGGTTGGGAAAAGTTTGTGAAGAGCTTTAAATGTCAAATAAAGAGTTTATAATTGATCCCAAAAGTAATAAGGAACCGCTAAAGATTTTTGAGCAGAGCAGGAGTCTAGGACAGGTCTGAGCTTTCAGAAGATCACTTTGGCAGTTGTGTGGAGGACAGATTGGAATTAGAAACTAATTAGGAAGGTATTGTAGTGGTCTAGGCAAGAGATGATAAAGGCCTGAATCATGGTGGTCCCTCTTTGAGTGGGGGAAGGGTGATGGACACGAGATCTTGTGGAGATAGAAAGAAAACTTGGTAGCTGACTGGCTATATGGAGGGAGTGGGAGTGAGAAGTCAAGGATTCAATTCAATAATTCCATAAATATTTATTGAGCTTCTCCTATGTGCCAGGTATGAGGATCAGAGCTAGAAGGATAACACCAAGACTGTAAACCTGAGTAATTGGAAGGCTGGTAGTGTCTTGACTGAAATAGGGAAATTAGCAACAGGGCTGGGTTTTGGGGGGAAGATAATGAGTTTGATTTTGAACATATTTGAGAGGCCATGGGACATTCAGTTTAAAATATTTAATAGCTATTTTGTGATGTAAGATGGGAACTCAGGAGAGAGATCGGGGTGTGTATATTGATCTAGGAGTCATTTGCAAAGAGATGATATTTAGACCCACGGGAAATGATGAGACCACTGAGAGGAGAGAGAGAGAGAAAGAGAGAGAGAAAGACATGGAACAGAGCCTTGGAGTTCACCCACAGTTAAGGGATGTGACATGGAGGATGATAGAGTAAAGGAGACTGAGGAGTGGTCAGACAGTTTGGTGGAGAATCAAGAGAGAGCAACCTCATGAAACCTCAGAGAGAAAAGAGTACCCAGGAGAAGTGGATGGTCTGCTGCAGAGAGGTCAAGTGAGATGAGGTTTTAGTAAATATCTAGAAAACAGCAACATTTGCAGCAGACCCTTCCTGTTACTTGGAATCCCATGTTGGAGTGACATTGCTCTCCTGGTCCTTATGGCCAGATTGCCAAGTAATATTACTGAATGATGAGCAAGAATTCATGTTTCAGGGAAGTCTCTATTCCCACCACCTTCAGTGATAGTGGAATAGAAAGGCTATGGTCCTGAACACTAAACCTGTGGTAGCTTTCCACCTTTATAACCCCACCAAGCCAAAGTCCCACTTCTCCTACTACTTTCTTTTGTATGGTCGTAGTAAAGAGCTGTGGAGGGGCTGGTCTGTATCAGAATTAAGCCTGGTCAAGCCTGACCTGTGCAACATTTATCACATGTGAATTGATAATTAATTTATGAACTTATTGAAATGGTGGCAGGCATGCTTGTTTCTTTGGGTATTTGCCAAAAGAGCCACGATGGCAGTGGCAAATGGGGATGCAATCACACTTTAATGAGGTACAGAGGGCTGTTGGGAGCACTCAGCAGCATGGGCCTAATGGAGATGGAAGAGAGCTTTTGGGACAGGAGTTAGAGGTTTCATTTTTATAGGGTTTGGAGGGGAACAGTTGTTGTTCAGTCATTTCAGTCATGGCTGACTCTTTGTGACCCCATTTGGTGTTTTCTTAGTGAAGATACTAAAGTGGTTTGTGATTTCCTTCTCCAACTCATTTTTACAGATGAGGAAACTGAGGCAAACAGGGTTAAGTGACTTGCCCAGGGTCACAAAGCTAGTAAGTGTCAAGGGTTTGGTCTGATGCCAGATTTGAACTCAGGTCCTCCTGACTTCAGGGCCGGTGCCACTGCATCACCTAGCTGCCCCCCCTGAGACCAGATTTAAACTTAGGAAGATGAGTCATGTTGGCTCCAGGCCCAGTGCTCTATCCATGAGTCCCTTCCCTGTCCTTTTGGGAAACAGACTAACTCTTATCTCTGCTACCTTGGAGTCAGTTCACTGATATATCCAAATCATGTCAAGGTAGTCAGTAAGACTTTAAAGTTAACATGTCCACTTCATCTCAAAATTACCAGCACCTTTTGGTATTCTGCTGGTCTTACTGTGGACGTCTGGAACTTTATCGGAGATTTATGTATCATAGGACCAAAGGACCTGACAGAAGCACCCAGATGGCTTCTGCTGATTCAGTACAGAGTACCAGGATGTAAATTTTTGCTACTATATGATACAATTTGTAAATTAATGCTGTTTTGATTTTTGGGATGGTTTTTATGTGCCTTCCAGGTTCTTCTTTGCAATCTTATTTCCTGCTATTGCCCCTTTATGCTGTCTAGCTATAAACTTGCTTATTTTGCTGACTAGAATAGGGGATGGGTGGTCAGGGGAACCAGAACAAGATATAATTTCAATTAATTTATTTTATTTTATTTATATATATATATATATATTTAGATATTTATATAAATGTTTTATTTATTTAATTAATTTTAATTTAGCCATAGATTGCAATTATTTCTATAGATGCCTCATCTGTTAAACTCTTAAGTTGCTTAAGGGTAAGGTTATGTTTTCTACATCTTTGGGTTCCCATATTACCTTATACAAAAGTGGGAGCTTTAAAAAAGTATTTGTTAAATGAATGGATGGATTACTGTGCTAAACCTCACATGCTTGATGCCTTTAGAATGCAGTACTATGATAATCATGTGAAAATAGGAATGATCTGAAACCTCACTGTGGATGGAACTTGAGTTTGTTGGTTTCTGATGAACATGTAGGTGGAGCCATATTTGGCAACAATATAGTATGTTCCTGGTATAAATAAGATTGGAGAAACACACACATTATATATACACACACACAAACTAACTTTAAATGAAATATTCTAATACATGTATGTAAGTGTAGTATATACGTACATGGGTGTTAATGAAAAGAATATCAACACAATTAGTTATTAAAAGAGGAATGGCTTGTGGTCTATCTTATAGATGCCTTAAAAAGACATCCACTTTTACTAGGGGTTATTCATTTGAACGTGGGGAGAAGTTGAAAATGTATTTATTATGAGTAATTTGCTTGCTATGCACTGTTTTGGAATTGATTACCCAGTGTATTTATATATCTCATCCTGGAACCTTTTGTACAATTGAAATTTATCTGCCTACTTTTAAATGATTTCATTTTTGTATTTGAATCCATCTTCTCATAAAAAGTGTTCTGTTATTAATTAATTGGCAGAATCTCTCCTAATTAGGGGGTGTGGGTGTGGATGAACAATGCCAAGTATAAAAATTGGATTCTGATTTTCAGTTTGCATCTGAAGTTTCTTATATATATCAACATGACAATTGGCTAACCTAAAAATGTCAATTCCCTGGTCTAAAAGGTTCCAAATTTGAGTTTCTAATCATAGAGACATAAGGTTTGAGCTAATTTTCATTATTTGACTTGCTTATTGGCAAAGTAAATTTAAACTTGTGTTAAGACCAATATTGTAGGAGATTTATAGACGAGAAAAGGATCTCTACAATTACCCTGAACTGGAGAAGCCAGACAACCTGCTGTGAGAACAGGACCACAACCAGACCAGAGTGGTATCCAGACAACTCTATGACTGTATGTGATTTCTATGAAATGGACAATTTTATTTCTTTGATTGTTTACTTTTTCCCCTTGTACCTTTTATCTGTAAGGTCTACCTACTGAAGGGGACTGTCCCCTTTGATTTTGCCAATTCACTGATCAATCTCTCCCCCCATTTTCCCTCACATTGTTTCCCATCATGAACCTCATAGTTAAGAACAGTTGATGAAGTGTTCATAATATCAGTTAGTGATTCACTGAGGAGACTGCATCTCTCAATAGGATCAAATGGGGGATTGAGAGAAATGATTATTTCTCTCCTGTATTTAATAACTAATTATTGAATTTGGATCACGGTTTCTCCCTTTTTCTACTTAATCATTCGGAAATCAGCTCCTGTAAGTTACACAGACAGCCTTTGAAGTGTAGGGCTGATACTAAGGGGGAGAACTCAGATCTGTTCAAACAGTAAAATTAGGTGAATTGGATTCCAGCCTGTTGTGGTTTACTCAGACAAGGTCTGGGAAAATGTGAATTCTCCCTTTTGTCAGATGGGTGATATGGCCACAGATAATTCCCTTTGACCAAAACTGAGTGATCCCAGTCACCATTCCCCAGCCTTTAATTAGAATAAGCCCATTTCTTATTATGATATTCATTCTTTTCATTATTTGTTAACCAGAGTTGATTTCCATCCTCAGGTATACTCCCTTTTCCAAAGGCTTTATAAGTATTGAAGGTTTCACAGATTAGGTCTCTTCAGTCATTGAAAGGCCAAATGAGCCCTTTTTGTTAACCTACTTGCTAGCAGTGGTTGATAAAATTGATTAAAATTTACCCAGAAACTCTCTCTTGAAAATTTTTACTCGTGGCACATGTATATATGTGTGTGCACGAATGTATACGTGCACACACATACACTATACCAAGTTATCTCTAAATGGAATATTCTAATATATGTATATATACAACATATAATAATACATATACAAGTATGTCTATGTATGTGTGTATATCTATATCTGTCTATCTACTATCTATCTACCTATGGAAATTCCATTTAAAGGCATCTTGGTGTAGTAGTATATCTATTCTATATATTCTGTAGTACCATCAATATTCTAATATATACACAAATATATCTACATTAATATATTAGAACAATCCATTTTTTAAAAAAAATTTTAGGCAATTGGGGTTAAGTGACTTGCCCAGGGTCACACAGCTAGTAAGTGTCAAGTGTTTGGTCTGGGGCCACATTTGAACTCAGGTCCTCCTGACTTTAGGGTCAGCGCTCTATCCACTGGGCCACCTAGCTGCCCCTAGAATAATCCATTTAGAGGCGGTTTGGTATAATTATATATATTCTATATTTTCTAGTTGTATATGTATATAATATATACATATATAATATAGACATGCATATATGCAATATACTTATATATTTTTTTATTTATAATAATTCATTTAGAGGTAGCTTGGTATAGTGATATATAGGGATATAGACCATGCCTAAAAATGCCCACTTTGACCTACTACTTTGTAACATTTTACTAAGAAATTTTTAGTTCAATTTAGCTTACACATTTAGAGACGTCTAGTTAATGCTATTCTTTCTTTCCTCAGAGAGCTATACCAAAATTTTAATGAGTCAGAACCCCTTGTTTAAAAAAAAAGTGAAATGGTGAGTTCAAACAGTTTGATTTGTTTCTTTTCAGTTTGTTACGTAAATTACTACAAAATCAAATGCAAAATATTTGGAGATATTGAGAGGAGAGACACATTGAAATTATTTTAAAATGTGAATTATGGAATATTTAAAAAGAAATGCAATTTTACTTCATCCTTGGCATAAAATTTAGAAATATTTAAATTCTAAAAGCAGGGGTCTGTGGAGAAAGGTTACATTTGGAGTACCCCTCTATCTTTCTCCTTAGCAACTTTTGTTATTCTTAAGAATTCAAATTCCCCTGTTGTTAAAAAAAAAACCAATATATATTCATACAGAAATCAGTGGCAAAGATGGGAATATTGTTCAGCTAATATTTCTCTCCTTGCATTGTTTGCTGAAATTTAGAGGTAAAGACTGTATCAACCCAATTAATATGGCTTTACAGTGCCAGATAGCATAGCTGAAACACAAGCTGAAATACCGCATCTTGTAAATGGCCCTTACTTTATTTCCTTCCCCCCAATTTTTCCTTTGTAATGATTTTTGGAAAGGAAAGTTCCAACTAATAACAGTTAGCATTTATATATCACATTAAAATTTGCAAAGTACTTTACGTATATTATCCCATTTGATCCTTACAACAAATCTTCTGAGGTAGATGTTACTGTTATCCTCATTTTGCGGATGAGAAAACTGAGAGAAGTTCACTTGACCACAACACACTGCTAGTAAAGGTCTGGGTCAGGATTTGAACTCAGGTCTTCCTGCCTCTAAGTCCTGTACTCTACTCTCTACATTCCCTGGATGCAAACTCACAGTCTACCATTTTTCTCTTAGCTTTTGTGCAGATGGAGTCAACCTCTTATACAAGGAAAGCTTTTTAATCTGCTGCTTGGTACCTACTGCCTCTGCTTAAAGACCATGGACGTGGACATTCAGTGGCCCAAAAGTTTCTCGAGACATTTTCTTAGAATTTGCCTGAAATCAATCACTGTTGCATGTGTTTGATGAGGAAGGAGGCAATATGAACTGTTTTAGGAGCTGTGATTTAAAGACCCAATGCCAAATTTGAGATGTAAATAGAATTCTACAAGGTAATCAATTCCAGCAATCCAGCCAGTCCCCAAACTTGAGTCTTACCAAATAAGGTCTAGCTACCAAATAAAGATAATAGCTATGACAGAATGTGATGGTCAGTTCAGAAAAATTAATTATTAATATTGTTTGGTAATGAGCAGGGGCTGTGACATTGATTCCTGGACTCACTGCTGTCAATATCTCTACCTCATAGCATTAGCTCCTTGGTTTATTTTTGTTTTTTTCCTAATTTAGTAAAAGTAGAAAAATGGACTTTTCTCTAACATTGCCATGGCTTCTAAATGCAATTTTAAGGAGATAAATTGTTAGCATATTTAGTTTTTAGCATTTTTAAATATAACATTTTTTTTATTTTCTTGAGTAAAGCCAATTAAAAACACAATTGTTTAGACTGTTTGTTTATTGTTTGGATTTCTGTGGTTCTATGATGCTTGTAAAGAGGGAATATTTCAAAGATCTGACACTGAAAACGATGAGGGAAATGGGAAAGACCAAGAGGCAAGTCACAAGTATTTATCAATGTAGAAACTGACTGCAGGGAACAATACTCTGAGCACTGCCTTGGAGGCCCTAATAGGCAGGCAGGCAGGCAAACTTACAATGTTCCAGGCACTTGGGATACAAATAAGAAACAAAAGAGGTCCTGGCCCACAAAGAGCTTACATTCCAACAGAGGAAGATAGCACATAAAAATGCAGGAGTGTTGAGAAGGGGTGGGAGGGGGTGGGAGAAGTAGCCAAGGGCATGGTGGTACAATCCTGGAGACAGAAGGGAATACAACATGGCCAGTCTAGGCCCTCTCCCCAAATGGAGGCCACTGGAAGGGACTAACCAATGGAAGACGGGGCCTAACATGGAGGTCAATGTTCTACCGAGAGAAGGCCCAGGTGATGAGGGAGATCCCTAACATGAGAAGGCAGCTGAGTCACTGCAGCAGTTAGCAAAGTCAGAAGCATAGCCTGAAGTCTGAGACTTAAGACATGCTGGAAGTGTTTGTTCCCTCTAACCTCTTAGATAGTCAGCCACCCTTTCCTGCCCCACCTCTGCAGTGCTTATCCATATGCTCTGATAAGTCCACCATAGGGGGTGCACTCAAGATGCTTTTCCCTGACTTCACAGTATGTGGACTGCCTGCTTGTTATCCCAATGCCTGTGTAGCACCCCAATGGGACTGGCCCATCTTCTTCATGCAATCCCACACAGCCAATGACAGCCTTTCTTCCCACTCTTCAGAGTTCTTTGTTTCACGGTGCAGCCTGTTACCTCTCCCCAGGCACCTCTGCAGGGCCCTCTATGTGATAATTATTTTTAAAAGTTTTCAGATCTGGAGGGTTTCATCATTTGGAAGGTGCAGCTATGCTCACTAGAATACTGGTTTTTTTTTTTTTCAATGTGGCTTGTTTCTGGGGGAGATTTACGGTCACTAAAAGACCGTTGCAATTTACTAAGGAAATTCAGCCTAGTCTCTTCTGCAAGTTCTGAAAGTGACCCTTCCAACAGAATTCCTTTTTTTCCTTCAAGGTCAGACTTTGCTACTCTTTCTTCCATGAGGCCTTCCCTCTTCAAGCTAAGCCATCCGTCCCTCCTTGACTCCTCACACCACTCAATTTGCAGCTCTCGCATGCACTCAATCATAGTCTAACCTGCATTATGGTTATTTGCACATACATGTATTCCATCATCCCCACTAGACTGTGAGCAGGGATTGTCCTTTAACATGTTCCAGCTCCCTAGCACATTGCTAGGCAATAATAAACTTTTGGGTAGCTAGGTGGCACAGAGGACCGGGCCTGGAATCAGGAAGACTCATCTTCCTGAGTTCAAAACCTGCCTCAGATACTTAACTAGCTGTGTGACCCTGGGCAAATCACTTAACCATGTTTGCCTCAGTTCCTCATTTGTAAAATGAGCTGGAGAAGGAAATGGCAGAGAACTCTAGTATCTGCCAAGAAAACCCCAAATGGGGTCACAAAGTTGGACTTAACAATAAACATTTGTTGAATTGAAAAAAATCTTACCCCTTTAGGTGGGGCTGGAAATATTTCTCAAAGCTCCGATTACAATGCAGCTATATTACCCTGAAGGCAATTACACAATACATAAAGGTATCTCATTGCTAGCTCATCTCATAGCTAGGGAAGTCAGATTTAAGAACTGGAATTTTCACAAGTTGCTATGGCCAAAATTCCTAAGCTAGTTGCCAACTTTGCCTCTCCCAACGTAAGAAGTCTGATCCTCAAGACAATGCTTTGTGTAGGTCTGTGCCCCAAGCCTTTGGCACGTAGTAGCTTAGTCGCCTTCACCCCACAATGAGGCTTTGGAATTGGATTTGAGTCGATGTCATATATACCCATAGCATTCTAACAGTGCCATGTGAATTTAAATGACAAAATCACTTCTATATATTGTTAAAAAAAAATCACAACTACATATTGTAAAAGGAACACCATTCTTATGCAGCTGTTTTTATGTATCACCATAACCTAGAACAGGGTAAATCACAGAATCATAGACTTAGAGCTGGGAGGGACCAATGTGATAATTTAGGAAACAAAAAAACTATTCCAGCTGAAGATTTTTTAACATGTAGTCATTGAGGGGTGGGGGTAGGGGTCTCACTTCTCCCCAAATAAATTCTTCCTACAAAGACCAAATGGTTGGGCCTTAAGCTGTGTATGAGGAAATAGGTAGCACACTAAGCTGTATTGCACCTCAGAGGCCATCTAAGTTAACTTCCTCATTTTAAAGATGAGGAAACTAAGGCCCAGGGGTTAAGTGATGGCTCACTGGTAGTACAAGCGTATTCAGAAATGAAGGGGATGTACAGACAAAAGATATCGATAAAACAGAATTTAAAAAAAAGAAAGGTGGTTGGGTCAGTTTTGCTTAACAGTTTCTTATTTACAATGAGGAAGTCACAGTGGGGTGAGGCGGGATTCAAGAAATGACTGTAGAAACATACATCCAAATGAAGAGACTTATGACCTAGTTTCAAAAAGCTTTTATTTGTGGCTCCCCTAAAGGCAAAATATCAGAAAACAATCCACTGCAGAGACAACATTTTATAGTAAAGAAATAGTATCTTTATCCCTTCCTCTCTCAAGGATACAAGCTTTCATCTTATTGTGAACATTTAAGAGCAGTTTTCCGTGTCTAGATATGTGACTTGTTTAAAAAGGCACCCATAATCATGGCCCTCCACCATTCTGCACATCACTTAGCAGGCACTGTTCAGTTCTCAGTAGTCTCAACCACACACTGTAACATAATTAGAAAGCTCTTTTGCCCAATCTAACAAAATATTTTAAGGTTGTCTTCTGCTTTCCTGTTACCTCCTCGAAAGAGAAGAATCTCCAAGTTTTTCCTAACTGTGGTTAGAACACTCAACATTTGCGAAAAAAAAAAAAAAAAACACACACACACTATCTGAAACACCTAAATTATTACAAACTATTGGTCATAAACTTAGGGAGGTAAAGCTCAAAATCAGACACGTTAAATTGTCTCCTCCCTCAAATGGATAATTAGAGAAAGAGATGATTTGTCTATCAGGTCAGTTAAAGAAGTCCTATTCCTGCAATGCTCCTAAGTAGTCCCTTTCCTAAATGCCAACCATACTAGTTGGCTGATGACGGAGAATGCAACAGATCTCACAAAGATTGAAGTCCCAAACAGTGCCATCCCAGAGAGAGCCAGCAGAGCTACAAGGGAGTTCAATGACCCAAGTGAAATGTTGGTAAAGGCACAAAGAGAGGAATCATGGGTGACTTTTGGTGCCATTTTCATTTAACAAGCCATTAGTAGAGCAGCCCTAAAACTCCTGACTTTCATCACCCCAACATGTTTAGATCAATTACTGTAGGAAGGCATGATTGGCAGGCTGGTATCCCTTCTGGCAGAGACCGTCAAGGGAGCTCCAGCCAGACCCCAGCATGGCCTTCCTGGTGGAACCTAGGGCTGAGGGGTGTACCGTAGGTATTTCTTGCCTGAAGGGAGCTCTTTGGTGAAGACGCCTTTAGGGAACAGTTTTTTGGCCTCCTCTTCAGAGATAGTTGGAACGACCATGACACTATCCCCATGCTGGAGAAACATTGATAAGACAAGTTTTAACGTTAGGTGTGATGCCTGGGGTGGAGCTGTCAAAACTCTAAAAAGGTTGTCAGTAGTTTATTTTATAGTGAAAGAATACAGCAAAATGTAAGCTCCCTGAATAAATAAATGAAGCGAAATTCCGAGGGCTGGGCTGTTGTACCCCTAGCTCACAGCAGGCAATTAACAAGGATTTACTAACTTGAACCCCTTTCCTACATTCCTTAGGGACTTTAAGAGGGATAAAAGGGAAAAGTTTTGCTCCATTATCCTTCCCTTTGTTGATGTAAATTATGATTTTCTTAAACAGAAAAGGAAGACTTTTATAGGGATGAGACCACTTACATGAACTTCTATAACACCTATTCAGTGTTTTAACACCTGTTAAGATTTTTAAAATAATAATTTTACCAAGAGGAGGGCAGGGATGTTGAGGTTAGTTTTCTTGACCCCAGAGCTAAGAATCAGATCTCCCAATTTTCAGGCTCACAAGACACATAGATTAAGATTAAGTGGGTTCCAACCCTGCCTCTAACGCTGAGCCTCCACGGGCCCTGGACAAGTGGACTGCTCTCCCTGGCACGTAGGTGACATCTCCTCTGTCTGTAAAGTGATGGGGCTAGATTATGTGCTGCTTGAGGCCCCTTCCAACTCTACATCTTTTGTCTAAATACCCACTCTCTTGTACCTAATGTAGAAGACAATCCATTACCTATCTCGAAAAACAATCCCTAGGTGTACAGTGTCCAGGCAAGTTTCTGAAACACCTAAGTTCCATTTATGTGATGTGATCAGCAATGGAAAAATGTATGTCTGTCAAAGACTGACCCTGAATATAAAACGTTTCATAATATTTCAAGGTTAAAGGATACATGAGCATGTATGTATGTGTGTGCGAATGTATATGTGTATTATATATATACACACAGAGAAATGTAGATATCTATCCATCACCAGAATGGAGACCTCCCAGGCAGGAAACACCCCCCCATCAGCTGTTTGTCAGAGTTATCAAGGGGCTCGTGCAGGGTCAGAGTCAGTATGGATCAGAGCGGGGCTTGAACCCAGGTCTCCCTGCCTCCAAAATCTGCTCTCTATTTACCACATCAGGCTCTCTCCTCTTTCAGGCATTCTGATTTACACTAGCCTTATTCTAGTTGGGCAGGTAGATGTCAAGTTCTTTCATATGTCTTACTTTCCAGTCAACAGGAGTAGCAACCTTCTTGTACGCAGTCAACTGAAGGGAATCAACAACCCTGAGGATCTCGTCAAAGTTTCTGCCAGTAGTTGCTGGGTAAAGGATAGACAGCTTCAACTTCTTATCGGGGCCAAAAATAAATACCTGCAAAATGCAGAAAAGTATTAAGGGGTGTACTTTTATTATTTAGGAAAGTCTAATTTACACCTCGGTCCAGGCAGCAAAGACAATGGTGTTTCTCTGTACAGAACCTCACCCCCCCCAACCTACACACAAGTGATCTCATTTTTATTTATGGAGGAGATTCAGATTAACCCCCACTGGGATATCCTTCCTGATGCCCCTAGTTGGTTAAATCTCCCCTTCCTCCTCAAAATCATATACATAGCTAGGAACAGAGTGAGAGGTCAAAGGGACCTCAGGGGCCATTGAATCTAATCTCTCATTTTACAGATTCTGAAACTGAGACTAATATTTAAACTTGGGTCTTCCCTGACTCAAGGCATTATATTCACCGCATGATGCAGTTGCCTCTTTATTTGTTTACTCTTAATAAATACATATTGATTAACCAATTTACATGTTTCATTCCACAACAGAATATTAGTTCCTCAATTAAGGAAGGGACTGTTTTTCATTTTTGTCTTTGTATTTCTGGAATAATGAAAGCTTGTGGAATGAGAATTTTTAACCTCAAACAGCCCCTCACACCACCCCTTCCACCCCTCAACTGGCACCCAAGTGTTTAGACTGATAGGAACACAGAAGGTGGAAAAGAGGATGGAACAACTGACCTCTGCAGCTTTTCTTTGATGCTGCTTAAATAACACTACCCTTAAATCAAAGTGACACAAGACAAGCAAGTCCCATGGGAAGAAACATGTCCACGGATGCTTGCAAAGCATGAGGCTGGGCTATGAAACTCACCACACGAGCTGTCAGAGGCATGCCCTGCCCATCCTGCTCATCTGGATCTAACATGCCCAACTTGATGGCAAGGTCCCGTTTGTGATCATCAATGATGGGGTAAGGCAGCTTCTCTGTGGGCTCGTCTCCATTGTATGCATTGATATCCTGAAAGAGGGCAAAACATGAATATAAAACCAGGTATGTTCTCTCGATGATCTTAACAGCTAAACCCTTTTAATAGAGTAAGGAGAAGAAAAAGTGATTTCTCTTCTTGAACTATGAACCAAAACTCCTAATGGGTGGGTACATGAACAATTCTAACCAGTTAACCAGGTCAAATTTCTAACAATCTTTATTTCTGGTTTATTGATACTTTGCACATCACTTTCATTTCCAAGTTCCAACCAGTAAGACCACTCATTCCTAATCACCAGAGAGCCTTCTCTTGTAACAAAGAGTATTAGTTCAGCAAAACCAATGGATGAACACTGCCTTTGATTGCATATGCCATGGGCCTCATCCATAGTTCCCTTGCCTTCCCAAAGAAAGGAGGGACATAATTTCTTCAGCTCTTTACCAGGGTCATGCCTGGTCAGTTCAGTTTAATTTTGTGGTTCCATTTGTACTGCCGTAGCTAACATATAAATGATTTTTTTTTGGTTCTATTTACTTCATGCTGCATTAGTTCACATAAGTCTTTCCATGCTTCTATGAATCCTTCATTTCTTATGGTGCAATAATATTCCACTATATTTATAATATAGAATTTGTTTGGTCACTTCCTAATTGTTGAGCACCTATACTTGTTTCCAGTCCTTTGCTGGTACACAGCAGGCACTTAATAAGTGCTTGTTGACTGCTACCACAAAATGTGCTAAGGATATTTTGTTTTCTATGGAATCTTCCTGTCTTTGACCTTCTTGGGGAATATGCCTAGCAGTGGGTCAAAGGGCACGGACAGGTTAGTCTCTTTTTTTTAGCATAACGAATTCTTCAAGATACTAGTGCCTTCTGAGGCAGCTAGGTAGTACAGTGGTTAGAGCTCTGGCCTTGGAGTCAGGAGGACTCAAGTTCAAAAACGGCCTCAGACACTTGACACTTACTAGCTGTGTGACTCTGGGCATGTCACTTAACCCTGACTGCCTCATCAAAAAGCAAAATAAAATAAAAGAGAGATATTAGTGCCTTCTTTCCCTCTTTAAAGTTTCCTGTAACTATTTTGTACAGAGGTTCACTTTCCTGCTGATAAATGTATAAGGTCCATGAGGGAAAGGGTGGCTTCATTTTGTCTTTGGAATCCTTAGTGCCTAGCACATAGTAGGTAGACCATACCATAGTTGTTGGACTGAGCAGCTTAGTGTGCCTGTATTCCTGTAGCCCCTTCACCTTATTTTCATCTTTTGTTACCTTTCTGATTTGCAAGTGTGAAATAAAATCTGAATTGTTTTAATATGTTTACCTCATTAAGTGATTTACAGCCATTATTTATAAGGTTAACAGTTTATAATTATTCTTTTGAGAACTGTTTGTTCATAGATTAACAACCATTTATTCATGGAGGAATGGTTCATTTGTTATATTTTAGTTACATATTTTGTTAGTTTCCTATCAATTTTGGATATATCAGAAACTTTTGATGCTTAAATGTTTTGCTTTTGTGCATCGACTTTATTCATGAAAAAGCTTTTCAACTAAATGTAATCACAATTATCTTCTTCATGTAGTCAGACAAACTACACTACTGTACAGTAACAATAATGGCCAACATTTATACAAGAATTTATCCACATCCCCTTGATTATCATCATAGCCCTGTAGGAGGGGTAGGTCCTAACCAGTAGGTTAAGAGAGACCATTCTCTGAACCCAAATCAATTTCCTCACTCCAAGGCCAGCACACTTAGCAGCCCTAGCTTTACTGCTACCATTTGCCACCTCACCCATCTTTTCCTTCCCCTGACTTCTCATAGCACTCTATACCTTACTTATACACTAATTATATTTACTTTGCAAAAAAACATTTCTGTGTTTGGAGTCAGGAGAACTGGGGGATACAATGGCTTCAGAAACTATAACCGTGAATGGGCAAGCTACTTACTGTGTCATCTTTGATGAAGACAGTATGACTTATACTACCCACTTTCGAGAGTGGTTGCAAAGAAAGCACACCTTACCTCAAGTACCACAAGTGCAGGCTGTTATTATAGTTATCTGGGTAAAGTCTTGGCTCTTCAATCAGCTGTCAAACTGATCTTCCTAAAACAAGGGTCTAGGGTCTGACCATCCCTCCTCTCCCTATCCTACCTCACTTCTGGCCTCCTTGCTGTTGCTCATACAAAACACTCCACGTCTCAATTTGGCCTTTCTTTGTACTCTCAGAACTTAGCATAGCAGAGGAGATGCATAAGAAATGCTAGCTGACTGACTATACTAATAGACTGTAAGCTCCTGAAGGGCAGGCCATAGATTATTTATCCATTTTTCAATTTTCAATCAGTGCCTACCACATAGTAAACACCAGATAAATGTTTACTGACAATCTTCTTGTTGCGATTGGGGGGGAAGAGGCCTTGTTTGATCATTTCAACTCAAACTGCTTGCCTAGCACAGCCAGTCTAACTTAAGACTACAATAAAATCACCAGAACAGTTAATGGGAATTCAGAATAGTTAGCCTGAATTCAGTTCAAACCATTCATTAGGTGCCAACTATGGGCTAAGTGTCCTGGTTCCTGGTTGCTAGGGATATAAAGACAAAGAAGAAACACAATGTTTAACTAATTGCTAAGTGAAAATATAAAAATTATTGATTCTACCATGTAACTGGTTTTATGCTGTATTAATTTTATAATTGAGTCTGCCTCTGCCTAAAGTCACCTTGCTGTATCCTTGAGTAGAGCTCAGAAATTGAGCTTTCCCTTTAATTGTTGTTCTTCATTCTGGAAGAGGACCAGAATGACATCACAATGCTGGAGTCAAGTTACAGTGTGTCAGACTGGGGCTGATCAGACCAATATGAGCTCAGAATGTTCTACCACAGGTTGGGCACAAATAGTCCATGTGAACATCTGGAGTGAATTCTTTAAATCTGTGCATCTCGCATTTCTTTTGAGCTACTTCAGTTCTGCTCGGCTCATAGAACACAGCACCTTCTCTGATGAGGGCATGCCATGTTGGGTGGTCCTGTGCCAGTGTCTCCCATGTCACACAATCAATTCCAAAGTTCTTACATGTCATTGCAATTTGTATTTAAAAATTCTCTCTCTTAAGTAGGTATTTAAGTAGCTCTCTAAAGTTCTATGTTCATACTAGTAAATCCTGTAAGGATAATACAAAAAATCAGAATCTTTGAGGTTTTCTCATGGGGCTTATCAGCTCTGAAACCAGGAACCATACAGCACATGCAATCAATGTGATATTCAAGCCCAAACTCATGGTGCTGTACCTTACTCCAAGCAAGATGGTCTTGGACAGAGTCAACAGAAAGAGCAATCATCTTAACATTCCGCTTCGCAAATTCTGGGGCTAGCTTTGCAGCACGGCCCAGCTCTGTTGTGCACACTGGAGTAAAATCCCGAGGGTGGGAAAAGAGAATGCCCCATCTGGAAAGAACACAGAACACAGTAGCTGAAGGAACTGAATCAAGGGTGGGTTACCTGCATGTTTACTTCTTGATCCAAATTATGAGGTTAACAACATTTGGATGCCCACCAAGAGACTTCCACTTTTAACTATTCTGGTGTGGACCTTTTCTTCCATTACATTAAGCTTAAGCTATTCTATTTGTCTAGATCAAGACGGGAAATCCAGGAGGCAGCACGGTTATCTTAAAGGAAAAATGGTCACTGACCTGGAAATCTGGGGCTCTGAGTTAGAACCCTGGTCCTGACACTTGCTGAGTGACCTTGGACAAAGCACTTAACCTGAATTCAAACCTAGCCTCAGATACTTACTAGCTGTGTGACCCTTAGTAAGTCATTTAACCCTGTTTGCCTCAGTTTCCTCATCTGTAAAATAAGCTGGAGAAGGAAATGACAAACCACTTCAGTATCTTTGCCAAGAAAACCCTACGTGGGGGCACAAAGAGTCATAAATGACTGAAAAACAACAGTAATATTTACTGTCTTCACAGGGTTGTTTGTTGTGAGAAAAAGTAATTTAGGGTGCTGAAGCAGATGATCTCTAAAAGTCCCCCTGTCTATCTCTACATCCTATGATTAAGTAACTTTCAAGGATTCTTTAATTATATTAGTAGTACCGAATAATGTTAACAAGGATCTTAGCTTAAGAGAGTTTTTCCTTTACTGAGTAATCTCTCCTTTTGGGTGCATAGCTGAACTCTGGGGGATTTAAAAGGAAGATGCCAAGTTAGCATAGAAGTATCACTGAATTTGAGCATGCGGCTCAATTCCTTCCTTCTCATGCTCATCTACCTTTTTAGTGCATAAAACAACATATAAAAAAGTGACATTCAGATAAGAGTGTGAAGTCCCAATTCGTCTTAATTCAGATTCCTACATGGCTGGTCACATGCAGACCAGATCCTGTAATATTGATGCATCAATCCCCTTTGACAAGTTTATTCATGTATAAAGCAATATGGTCCATATGAAATATTATCAAAGTTCTAATGCCTTTTATATAAGTCTCACAGTTTATCTTGTCAAAGAAACCAAAGACAGCCAATAGCAGCAATATTACCTCTTGACATATGAGGCATGAAAACCAGTGTTTTTAGTTTATATATCCTTTTCCTTCATGTCTCACCCTTATATCCTAACCCTACACCTCCTCCCTTTGTCCCCCCACTTTGCAGGTTCATCCATCTTCCATATCACTCAATACAGTATATCCCCAAGTTCTGATCCGGGTCTTCTTTTTTTTTTCTACACAACTCTCACTCAGTGACTTTATCAGCTCTCCTAGTTTGAATTACCATCTATCTCTGCAGAAGAATTACAGATCTTAGTGTCTCCCCAGAGCATCAATCACCCATCTCCAACTGCCTAACGGACATTTCGAACTGTATGTCCCAAAGGCAAATTAGACTCTCCATGTCTAAAATTGAACTAACAGTCTTTTCCCCAAACTCATCCTGCTACCAAACTTCTCCATTTCTGGAGGAGGTACCCTTATCTCTCCCCTTTCCCAAGTCCACAACTTTGCTACCCTTCAGTCCACATAACCAGCCAGCTGCCAATCTTGTCATTTTTACCTCCACAATATTTTCACATTCATCCCCCTTTCTGTCTGAAGCACATGGCCACCATCCTCATTCAGGCCTCCTTACTACCTATTTTAATAAGTTTATTGAATTCTCTCAGTTGCACCTGTCCTCCACACAGCAGCCAAAATGATTTTCTAAAAATGCAGGTCTGACCCTATTATTCCTCTATTGCCTCCAGATTTAAATATAAGTTCCTGTTTAGCTTTTATAGCCTTTCCCAACCTCGCTACAATCTACCTTTCCAACATTATATATTGTTCTTGTTCACACATTCTAAGATCCCTCATCCAGGCCACACTAATGTCCCATCCCTGGACTTTTGTAGGCTGTTTTTTTTTTTTTGTTTTGTTTTGTTTTGTGAGGCAATCGGGGTTAAGTGACTTGCCCAAGGTCACACAGCTAGTACGTGTCAAGTGTTTGGTCTGAGGCTGGAATTGAATTCAGGTCCTCCTGACTTCAGGGCTGGTGCTCTATCCACTGCGCCACCTAGCTGTTTTGTTTTTTTCCAATCTCATTTGAAGTCTTCCCTCATTCCTATCCTCTCTCCAGCCTCCCCCAGGCCTCCATTTTTCTTCTATTTATTTTGTATACAATGAGTCAGTCAACAATCCTTCCTAAGGCACTTACAACTTACTAGCCAGGTATGGGAGCTAAAGGCTTGGGATATAAAGTAAAGCAAAAACACAGTCCCTGCCCTTAAGGCATACAAATGGGGGGAGACAACATGTAAATAATTATTTAAATGCAAACTACACATAGAATAGTTAGAAGACACTTGGGAGGAAAGAGGGAGAAAGGCCTTGAGCACAAGATGGGACTAGAGCTGAATCTTAAAAGGAGCCAGGGAAGCTAAGAGGCAGAGGTGAGTAAGCAGAATATTCTGAAATGAGAAATTCTGACATGAGATAGATGAGATGGATGTGAGCAAGCAAGTAAGCTAGTGAGGCTGGATCATAAGAGTGTGTAAAGTATATGAAAACTGGAAAGGTAGGAAGGATCCAGGTTGGGAAGGGCTTTAAATGACAAACCAGACTTTATAAGAGTGTTTCAAAAGTCTGAGTGCAGTATTAAGTTTTAATAGCTTAAATAGCTTTTAACAAGTTTTTTAAAAATAGCATTAAGCTTTAATATCTTAAAACTGCAACTGAGACTTTTGGAACACCTCATATATATCTGAAGAGTGAAGATGCTGGACTGTAGCTATTCTAAAGTCAAACCAAGTGAGGGTTCTTTAAAGATGGGCAAAGACATGGGTGTGTTTGTAGGCAACAGAAAAAGAGCCAGTACATAGGGAGAGATTGAAGAGAAGGGACAGAATAAGGAGGCAATCTGCTGGATAAGACAAGAAGTGATGGGATGGCAGATACAAACATGTTCTCCCTGGTCAGTCTCCAATCCTCAGGCAGCTTACATTAAATTGCATGTTTGTCTTTGTATGCCCACCACCTAGTACTTCCCTAAACAAATACCAGGTCCCTCTTAGGGGAACTTCTTTTCATAAGATCATAAATTTAGAGAACAAAAGGACTTTAACACGTCACTTAGCCTAACTACTCTTATTTTAAAGGTGAATAAGCATGCCCAGAGAGGGTAAGCAACTTGTCCAAGGTCACACATGTAATAAATGGTAGAGCAAGGAGTTGAATCCAAGTATCAATCAATAAACAATTATGTACCTATTGTATACCAGGCACTGAGCAGAGAAAGACAAATGTAAATATAAAGCATATACAAGGTAAAGTGTATGTGTGTGTGAGGGGGGGGAGGTTGGGGCGGGACTAGGCATAGAAATCGGGCGAGGCTTTGTGAAGAGGTACTGCTTTAATTTTAGGAGTGGTGTATTTGAGGCACAGAATTCCAGCCTGTGCAGAGGGGTAAAAGACAGAATAACATGTCTGAGCAACAGCAAACAGGCCTATTAAGATGGCACAGAGAAAGGAGTAATGTGTAAGGAGTGTGGAGTTAGGCTGTGAAAGGCACAAAATGTTCAACAAAGGATTTAGTATTTTATTCTACAGCAGGGGTTTGTTTAAGAACATTCCTTTTTTTTTTTTTAGCTCTCTATAAAGACATTAAGAAAAGATCTGTAGATGGTCACACTTCATTTTCAGGACTATCACACTTAGAAACTCTATTGATGGTATAGACAGAGAATGAACTGTGGCCAAGGAAACCACCTCATAAACACAGGTGACAGGTGAAGTGAGGAGGGGCTAAACTAGGTGGGTGTTAGCACTGAATTCAGAGAAAGGAATGGAAGTGATCGATGCCACAGAGGTAGAACTGAGAAAGACTTGGCAGTGATGGAATGAGGAGGAGTGATGAAAGATGATTCAAGGTACAGTGAAAGGAACATGGGAGGTGAACTCAGAGGAACTGGTTTCAATTCTTCCTGTTCCTACCTACATACCAGTATCAAGCCACTGGATGAGGATGGAAAAATATTATTAATATTATTAATTATTAAAAATTAAATTAAATTAATTATTAAAAATTAATCATTAAAATATTATTAATTAATATTATTAATATTTTTTAAAATGCAAAGAAGAAAAAAATCTCAAACATAGTAATTCATTAAGAGAGCAAAGGGAAAAAATCCTCTAGCAGGGCCAGGATGGGGCATTCTAAGGACAAGGAAACTAGAAGCAGGCCACAGAGGCCTTGTGCTTTCTGAGGTAAAGCCTCCTGCTACAGAACTCACACTGAGCAGGAAGCTGCTTCCCAGAAGTTAAACCTGCCCTGAACTGATGGAAGGACAACGGCTCTTAACACTGGGTGTTAGGATGGAGAATATTTTGCTGAGTCACATTAAGGAACTGTTTGTAAACTCTTTCATAACTTCACCCAGTGGGCTGGCTGCTTTCCACCCCCGTGACCAGGCTCCTCCCTCAAGCCATTTTAATCTTGTACAACTTTTTACAATGAGGCTATTTTCTTCATCAACCTCTGCATTCCTCCCGCCTTTTCAAATAAGCAACTGAACTTCTTTTAAGGAAGAACAAGGGGGAAAACAGTCTTTCTACCCCAGACCATTTTTCAGCGGGCAGCAATAGAAAAGCTGCTTTTCCCACCACCACCACCACAATAATCAGCATTACAGAAAATAAGGGAGATAGGCTGCAAATACATCTCCCACATCAGTGATTTGCTTGATAGGGTAGATTAAAAAAAAGTTATACGAACAAAACCACATACAATTCAATTCTGTCACTTTACAAAAAAGTTTTGTTTTTTTTAAACAAACACAAGCCATATACACAAAGATAACTTTAAAATATACTAAAATGACTGGACAGAACAGGGAGGGGAAGAAAAAAACAAGCTCAAATCTCTTTCCACTGTAGCCCTCTCGAAACCTTCCCGCCCCCCCCA